TCTCAAAATTATCCAATAAGATTAAATGATAATTTTGACTAATAATTAATGTGAAATTCCATTATACAACAATATTAACTATAGTAGAACTAGTCATATTAAAATAAATAGATGTTTTATTCATGTTAGCAATTTGAGAAAAATTATATTGATACTTAAATCATGATTAAATTGCAAATTGTTAAAATTAAATAATTTTTTTATTGAGATTACTAGATAATTTTTGACTGACTTTAGTTTGATATTGAAGAAAAAGATTATGTTATTTTAAAAATTGATAAAACTAAAATCTTGAAATATGAATTTGATTAAAAGCATCTGAATAATAACTTATATAAGTTATTTTTAAAATTATAGTTATTCATGAAGCTAAAAAATCAAAATTTTAGCTGTAACATATAAATTTAATATTATATTTATTTTCAAAGTTTTCTTAATTAATAAATCTTTCAAAAATATGAAATCTTCAAAAATAGTAACAAAATAACAAATTAATAAACATAAATTAATTATTTAGTTATCATATAATTATTATTATTTTATTATTTTATTATTTTTAATTTAGTAGTTTCTACCTTTATTTTCTACCTTTTTTATCTTTATTTTTTACATTTTCTACCTTTAATTTCTATTTTTTCTATCTTTTTCTACCTTTATTATCTAACTTTTTACTTTTTCTATTTATCTTTTCTATCTTTTCTATCTTTTTTTATCTTTTTCTATAATTTTGTAATATAGTAATAGTATCAAAATGTATTGAGAAATTTTGTATAAATAGAAGTACTATCTTAATACACACTTTCTCATGCTTCAAACAAATTAATAAATTTTAATCTTTAATAAAATAAGTTAATAATTACTCTATTATTATAAAATTAATATTTATTTTCTTCTATTAAAATAAGTTGTCTGACAAAAATAGTTTGTTAATTAAACTTTAAATCTTGTAATTTAAGTCGCTTGTCATAAATCTTGAGTAAGATCAAGAAACTGAATATTGATTTATATAGAATTGAATTTTTGACTATTATATTTTTATCTTTAAATTTGGAAAAGATGATTAAAGTATTTTGAATAAATATTTTAATTTGCTATAGTATTATTTTTGTATAGTTGTATACTGCAACTTTAAATAAGTAATATTATATAATTATGTATTGCAACTTTAAATAAATAATATTATATAGTTGTGCATTATAACTCTAAATAAGTAATATTTCTTTTAGTAATTTATTTTCTTTGGTATTAAAAGCACTAGAACATATAACAATAAGTATAAAAATATCAATATCTTTATTTTCAGTTAATAACTCCTATTAGTTAATTGCCTCTTTGAACACACTCTTCTAACTTCTCTTTTTATCCTTAATAAAATTATTTAACAATTTCTGTCAAAATTAGCACAGGCTTAGATACTTATTTTTGCACTGATCAATTTTGTTAGTCTATTTCTCTCTCATAATTCATATAACTCTCTTACTAAAGGTGAAGAAACTATTTAAAGTAACTATAGCATTAGCATTGACAAATTAATAATATCACATGGATAATTCAAGAAGAAAAATTTAGTAATGCAAAGTCAAAAAATTGACATGTTGGTTCCAGAAAAATTGCAGCCTATCCAGCTGCTGAAGAAGAACTTATTAAATGGATACATGAACTTCATCTTATTGAAAATTACTGTAATTATAGCAGCTATTAAAATACAAATAGATATTTTATAACATTCTTTGTATATGAGTTTTGATTTTAGATTTTTTTTATAAAATATTATTCATTTTTAATTATTTGTTAATATGTGTACTGTATACAATTACTTTCTTTATAGTGGATTATCATATCGATTTGGATATTCAGAATTATGTGATGCTTTTTGCATATACAGTGCAGGACACTTAAAGACACTAATAAAATCAGTCATCTTTAAAGCAAAGGATCTTTATACAAAGATTATACAAAAAAAAGGAGGTCGCTATTTTGTAATAAATAGGTCTAGCTACAAAATATCGGCCCCCTTTTTTTTGTATGACCTTTGCATAAAGATCCTTTGCTTTAAAGATGACTAATTTTATTGATATCTTTAAGTGTTCTGTGCTATAGCATAATTCACATAAGTTTGATTTGAATTGTATAGCACACAAAATTTAAGTGACTTTATTAAAAATGGGTTATTCAGGGGTTGCTAAAGATCGGGACGGTAAGTTTAATTAATAGACATTGTTAATAAGAATATCCTCACTTAAGAATAAAGAAACCCAATTTTCTTTATCTAAACAGTTCTCTTTCTCTCTCGTTAATAATCCAACGATATCTGTAGATATCAGCACAGGAATTAGATACCGACGAAAATGAACCAGTCTCTACACTCTCTCTACACTCTCTCCACTTCCTTGTTGTAGGCAAATTCGTCAATTACGAACCGCCCACAACAATATAAAGTCGAACTAACACTGAATTTTTTGTCTATATTAGATAGGATTCGGTCAACCCTACCACCTTGTGTATTCACCTCGTGTCTTATTTTAACTCTTGTTCATTATTTTCAAATGGGGTATATTTATTTTCCGTCAAAGAATAATCGAGATATTCATCATCATATGCCATTTGAAATCGAATAAATAATGATAAGACAGTATTCGGATAATTATTCAAAGAATTAATCTTTGAATAAAATTAAATGAGTCTAAATATATATTCAAACAAGCTTTATTCGAATCCAACCACTAATGCTAAATAATCCACACATTAAACATCAAAAAAAAAATCTATTACATTTGTTGAATTCTAATTACACCTGGAGATATTAATGAAGCAGCTGGATAAACTCATTCAGGTAAATTGTCGTATGCATCACCAAATTCTTTTCTATTGATCAAAAACTTGATTGATCTTTTAAACATGTCCAAATGTATCGTAATTATTGCTCCTGTATCAAAAGAATCTGCATATTCTTTTCTTACATTTTTGTGAGCTTTTTCACCAGATGAGCCAAGAAACCAACCATAAGGGGTTTGTCCTAGCCATTGATCCATATCTATAGTATCCTCGTCAGTGCAGATACCAACCCATGCATACCCACAACTTTTTTCAATAATAAACATCCATTGATAGTATCCTGGTTGTGAAATCAAATTTTTTGCACGAACAGAGGACTGCAGGATTGCTAGTGCTCTGACAATTTTGTTGTCAGTGAATAAGGTAAGTGAAGCAGAAAAATCAGGGTCCCATGATAGTTCTCCTTTTCTATTGCCAAATTCTCGATAGGTTAAAAGCTGCTGTTGTTGTCCTTTATGGTAATATTGATACGTTTCTAACAAAATTTCAGCGGGAATAATCCGAAGTGGATGAATAATATAGGCTAAAATACTAGGATCGATCAATTTTAAATTAATAAATGGAATAAACGTTGAAAAGGTCTTTTTTATTCTGTCTGCACTAATTGCATCATCAGCTTTGATTTCGTATTTTTTTGCGCCATTTTTCACGAGATCAGTCCAACTAGGCAAGCGAGAATCGAAAAAGTTATATTTAATGATTGAAGAATTTTTATCATTCCAAAGAATCACATATTGAAGAACCGAATATTCACAAGTAATAAAGTTTTCTTGATTCAAAGATTGACTTAGAAAACTAAGAAGTCCTTCCATATTAAAAGCTTCAAATGGTATGGCAGAAAGTTGAATAGTTGAGAGTTTCTCAATTAAAATTTTTTCCAACTTATTTTCGCTACTATTTGAAATTTTCGTGATTTCAGATAACATTCCCGCGACTTTGTAAATTTCAATATCCTTTAATGATTTTAACACAAATTTTACGATGATATCTTCCAATCCATTAAGAAGGAAATAATTTGCATTTATATAAAGCGGCACAATTACTTCCGAGCTAAAACATGCCTCATCAACAACCCCCATATATAGATATTCGAGAATGATTTTCATCGTCGACGCCTTGATGTCAGAAAAAAAAATCTCATCCAATGCACTTTCTTTCATCCCATTGCTAAGCATGCTTTTAAAAAATTTTGAACGAGCTACTAGTATTCCACGATAGGTGTACAAGGTTTCTTCTTGTTTATCTGTAGACGAAGAATTTCCACATTTGATTTTTAAGTCGCTATATTTTTCGTCATTGAGTATTAATTTAAGTTGCTTGGATAGTGATGAAAGTTCTTGATCAGTCGTTTCCATATGGAGAGCTGAGAAAAGGGGGAAAATAACAATCCAATCAACAATATACGTAATAAACTTGTGAGCATTTTTTACTTAAAAAAGAAAGGCTACTTGCATTGTCAATCATTAATCACGCAGTTTTCAATCACAAATGATATATATAAATATATGTGTATATAAATGTATGTGTATGTATAAATATGAGTATATATATTTGTATGTATATATCTATATATATTGGAACAAATTTTCTACTGCTATCAAATTGTAACAATCTTGTTATATAAAGATTTTTGTAGTGTGAGAACAATAAATTATATACAATAATTTATTATATGAACAAGTTTCAATTTAATTTTATAACTTAATATTTATTTTATTAATACACACCCCTACAGTATATTACTGGAAATTTCAAAAATGAATGTGGCACTTTGGTACACGATATCTCGGCATCCAATGAT